TCCTCTCTCTGCCCTAGGGGAACGGCCAAGAAGGAAAATCAAACTTTATCCCCCTCTCTGACTTCCTGCATGTGTGTGTGCCCGGGGGCCAGCTTCCTCGAGATGGATGCTGCATTGCTTCAGGAGACCAGCTCCATCCCCTCGGGTCCTCATAGGTCCTCAGTGGTTCTTTCCGAGGGCTGTTTTTTGAGCTTCACAAGTGCCTGAAGAAGGAAGGGTGGGCAGCAGGCACAGGGGAAGAGAATATGACAAGTTGTTCCCATAGGCAGAGATTTGGTGGTTGTATTAACCAGTTACTGCTGGGTTTCATTGGCTGGCAATGAAAGGGAGTTTCTATTTGAACAGCCTTGGGGTGTGTGCGGGGAGCTGGGAGGGGTGGGTAGGAGGGAGAGAGGCAGAGATTTCTTTTTTTTAATTTATAAAAGATCAACTTGGCAGGGAGTTCTTGACCTAACAAGTCAGCAGGTTCCGTTCCTTTGGACTTTCTAGACCCATATGTATTGGGCTCTGGCCAACTCAGAGAGAATGAGTGTAGATTTTATTTCCTAGAGCTAAGTCGTGTAGTGTGGTAGGTAAAAAGGATGATCACTGCAGACAGCTTAATGGGAGGAACTAGTGCCTTCAGTTCTCAACAAACACATCACCTGTCTTGTTCTGATCATATAGCTTTTAAGAGGAAGCAATTGTATGTTTTCAGAGAAGATACCCTCAGACCCATGATAGCATAAATTGTTGAAAGAGCTGTGAAAAGAACTGATGCTCTGCAAATGCAAGATAGTATTGCTATTATTAGTCAATGTTATGGACCCTATCTTCATTCCTGTGAGAAAAATTGCACTTTTTCATATTTAGCATACAGGCATATTGCTTTGCTGAAGCTTTTGGGTGAGAGCCGAGCTTTTCTTTAGTTCAGTTTACATTTATGTGTTTCATAGCCTTGAATTATGTGTTTTGTTCTCTTAAAAACATAAGGTGACCCCAAAATCTGTTTGCATTCCTCTCTCTCCCAAACTATTTAAAGACTTCCCAAGTTGTCTTTTTCTCTGCTTTTTGATAAGACATTGTCTGACTTTGCACAGTTTGTTTTTAATACTGTTTGGGTGTGGTATTCATGTAGCATTTTAAAATTGTGTTTCATAGATTTTCGACTGTGTGAATGCATCAGGCTGTGAGTGTCTTCCTTGTGGGGATACTTTGGGAAAGTGTTCTTCTGTGCTATTCTGGGATGGGTAAAACTGATGTGCTGAATTTGTAACTGAAAGTACATTTACAATGAAGTGTTATTTCTGAAGGACAGAAGTGTTGTCATGGGAATGGTGACTTGTAAATGAACTCAGAATTCTAAGATTTTGAAAAAAGTTGAATCTTATTATTTAAAATGTGTAAATGAATTTTCAATTTTTCTGTGATTGCTCTAAAATCATCATGTGACCTGCTGTCTCCATCTGATATTCTATGATTCCTCAGCAGACAATTTGAAAAATATCTGTTAGAGATTAAATTCTTGATATTTCTTGCCTGAAATTGAGGCCCAGAAAGGGGAGAAACTTGTCTGAGATTAACACAGCTATCATGTAATAGTTATAGGACTCCTACTCACCCCAGATATTATGACCTCCTTGTTGTATTGTTTTTATTATAACTGCAATTGTTCCTTTTCATCTTTGACCTCCCTTATAAAATTAACTAATTGTCTGTTACAAAATTATTGGTATTTCGAAATCCTATGAGCAGGAATTCCGTTAGTAGATGTGATTTGAGGCACTTGTATTAGGTCAATGTGGGAATAAACAACTTTCTGGAAAGAATAGATGTTCTTATAAGAAGGTACATGAGAGACACTAAGATTGACTCTTGCACAGGAGACATCCTGTGTGTGTGCAGCAGATGGCACTCTGCATTGGCCTGGATCACAAGTCCAATTGTGCCACTTTTGTTCTGCTGTAGTGGGTATGGTAAATTAGAGCAGGGGAACATAATCTATTATAGTACTGCTTAATTTTTTGTCATATTTTTGGAAATGCATCTTTTCTAAGTTTGGTGAATGAATTCAATGTGATACAGTAGTTCAGCTGATTGGTAAATGCAATTGCAGAGTTAGAAACATAATCTCCCCCCCCCCATTAAAATATTATCTCCCCCCCCCCAGTACTAGGAATTGAATCCAAGGCTCTCTGTCACTGAGCTACATCCCCAGCCCTTTTTGTTTTTTATTTTGAGACAAAGTCTCACTAAGTTACCTGGCCTGGCCTTGAATTTGTGATTCTCCTGCCTCAGCCTCCTGAGTAGATGGGATTATTGGTGAGTATCTGGAATTACAGGTGTGTGTCACCATGTCTGGCCTTTTATTTATTTATTTATTTATTTTTTGAGGTGGTAACCATTAGATGTTTGAGATGTTGTCCAGGCTGGCCTCTAACTCCTGGCTTCAAGAGATCTATCTGCCTCAGCCTCCCAAGTAGCTGTGACAGTAGGTATGTGCCACTGTACTCAGCTTTAAAAAATCTTTCAACTGAGTAAATGGGAGTAAAGGTATAGTGGCTTTTTCAATATTTTTAGCACCATGTAGTGTAATTTTTCCCTTCCTGTGTGAAGAACCTGTTATTGCTGTCCAGATTGTGACTGTAACTGAGACTGTTATAAAATGTTTGCTGTTTTCCTTTCTGTATGGCAAGTGAAGGTGGCTGCTATTTTCAAGGGGCACTGCCTTTCATTGTGGGCTGAAAATTCTTTGCTAAATCAAACTGTCTCATCTCTGATTAGGACAGTCTGACTGTTGGCGTTTCCTACTGATCAACTGCTGTGAATTACTAAATCTCTTTCTTTTCATTGTACTGTGACAGTTTGTAGCTGTCCTGCTCTACTTTACCCTTTGCAGTTCTTTGACAGTGATACTCTCCCAGCTAAGACTGAAAGTTTTAATGAGTTCATATTGCCTAATACCAATCATAGTTTTTTATTCAGTTTTTGATGGTCTGGCCCAATCTTCCTTTGCCAGATCCTCTGCAGCAGATATTCCACTGTACTCAAACCTATCTCTGCACTGTCCCTAAGTGTCCCATACATCTGTACTAAAAGTTTATGTAGTTTTTGTAACTTAATTTCAGCCTTCACTCATAATCCCTCCTCAAACCTCTAACATCTATTTTAGGGTAGAGACTGTGATCTGCAAATCCTATTTTGGTTTATTTTGAGACAGGGTCTATGTTATTTATTTTGCCCAGAATGGCCTCGAACTCTTGATTGTCCTGCTTCAGCCTGCTGAGTAACTGGGACTACAGGTATGCACCTGGCTACAACTTCTTTTGAATCCAACATTTTTGCTAAATCCCTTTTAGATAATGTTTATGGTTAAAACAGAACTGGTATTAAAATTCCTTTAAATAGAGGTGTGTCCAATAAATTCTAGTCTGAATCTTTATATGTGTGATTCCTGGCTCTTATTTTTAAAAAAATCTTTGGTACTGGGGATTAAATCCAAGAGTGCTTTACTAATGACCATATCCCCAACCTTTAATTGCCCAGGCTGGCCTGGAACTTTCGATCCTCCTGCCTCAGTCTCCTGAGTGGCTAGGATTATAGATGTGTACCATCATGCCCAGTGATTCCTTACTCTTAATCCCTTTCCTCTCTGTCCTGTCTTCTCTGAATTCTGATAGGTTTTATTATCTTTAGGACACAGATTGACATTGTCTCTAAATGTTTCATTTGTTGGCATCTTATCTTACTGGAGAGATAAAACAAAAATGTATATCTTACCCACCCCCAACTTGTTTAATAGTCTGTTGCTTAGATAGCTGAATTTGGGTGATTGCTTTAAGCTTGGTATTGCCAGTTCTATCTTCCGTTGTATGTTGTACTTCTTGAGGTTAAATTGGTGGAAAGAGTTGGTACCATTGGATTAATTTTGTAGTGTTCACTAACTTTCTGTCTCTAGTCAGCAAAAGTATGATAATTAACCAGATTATTATAAGTATATACTTGAATCATATTCCAAATTTGTTATTGTTACTATTCTACTATACTAAGATTTTGAGAGTGAAGATAAATATGTTTAAAACAGGCTTCTTTTTTTTAAGGAAGCAAACTTTTTTTATTCATTTTAAAATTTTTCTGTAAAATATTTGAGTGAATGAACTTGAATGCATTCAACAAATTCTGATTATTTGATTTTTTCCGAGTCTCAAAGGACTATTGTATGTTTTTTATGGAACTCAGAGTACTCTAACAGAAAACTTAAATAGAAAATACAGTAGCAAGAATTGTGTAATTAGCTTGGCATGTTGGCATATGCCTATAATTTCAGCAGTTCAGGAGACTGAGGCAGGAGGATTGCAAGGTCAAGGCCAGCCTCAGCAATTTAGCAAGACCCTTTCTCAAAATAAAAAATAATAAAGGACTGGGGATGTACCTCAGTGGTAGAAGGCCCTAGGGTTCAATTCCCAGTACTCTATCAAACCAACCACAATCAAATAATGGTATATTGGAAGCTGAGCATTGTGGTGCATTTCTGTAATCCCAACTTTTTGAGGCTGAGGCAGGAGGAGGATCACAAGTTGAAGGCCAGCCAGGGTAATTTAGTGAGACTATTTAAAAAAAAAGGATTGGGAATGTAATTCAGTGGTAGAGTGCTTAGCTAGCATATGCAAGGCCTTGAGTTCAATCCCCAATACTACAAAAACAAACTAAATCAATAACAATGATGTTGTCTAAGACAGTACATTGACTGCCAATTGTTTTCTGTTTTGGAGGGGCTGTCTCCCCACTGAAATGAAAGATTTCTACAAGAACTTCATTAATACCATTTTAAGTATAACTGCTGGAGCCGGGTGCAGTGGCTCATGTAATCCTTGTGACTTGGGAGACTGAGGCAGGAGGACTGCAAGTTCAAAGCCAGCCTCAGCAAAAGTAAGGTGCTAAGCAACTCAGTGAGACCCTGTCTCTAAATAAAGTACAAAATAGGACTGGGATGTGGCTCAGTGGTCAAGGGTCCCCGAGTTCAATCCCCTGTACCATCCGTCCCCCAAAAAACGAATAACTGCTGGGGTGTTGTTTTATTTCTTTTCACATTCTAGCTCTGTGCCCCTACAGTTTTTCTTGAAAATTATTTGTTTTTCTGTGATTAAGGTTAAGATTACTTAACATCTTGGAATATCTTCTTAATCTCAGGTTTTGAATCCTTTATTTGACTGACTAATGTCCAATCAGGGTTTATAAATATGTTAGATTTACTAGATTAACATGTTGTGAGGAAAAGGAAGATGTTATTGTGGAGAATGTAAACTTTACAGAATTCTAGAATTAGAGCTCAGAGTGACTGTTGAGGAAATGAGAGCAACAGTGGTGAGATGGCTTCTAGTAGATCTGAAAACTGATCATCTAGTTTTCTTAGTTATTTCCCTATTAAATTATATAATACTGGGTTTTATTTAAAAAATCTACTAAGACTGGTTTTAAAAAGTGAATTTGGGTCAGATTCTTAGAGTAAGTACCTGTGTTAGTCAGCTTTCCATTGCTTTGAAAAAATACCTGAGAAAATCAACTTAAAGGAGGAAACATTTATTTTGGCTTATGGCTTCAGCCCATGGTTACTTGTCTCTATTGTTTCTGGGCCTGTGGTGAGGTAGTACATCATGGTGGCAGAAAAGCTGAGGTAAAATATATAGCCCCCAATAACCTACTAAGCCCCACCTTCTAAAGTTTCCATTGCCTCCCAATAGCCCATTAAGATATAAATTCATCAAAGAATTCAACCATTGGTGAAATTAGAGCTCCCATGATCCAGTCACCTCCTTGAAGGGTCTTTTGCTGCTCTGGGGGGCCAAGGATTTAACACAAACCCTTTGGGGAACATTTCATATCCAAATATTCTACCCATGTAGCCCAACTCGAACTCAGTCTTGATAAGTACTTTCTGGATTAGATCAATCTGACATCTCTTTAAAAAAAAAATAAAAAAGTCTGCCCTCTGCAGGTTGAAAACAAAAGGAAATAATTCATTTCGTTGCACTTTGTTAAATGCTTGCAGTAAGACAGCCTGTGTAAAATGAAAGTTGGCTTAAAGCAAATTAATTTTAATTAGTGAATTATTGGCCCACAAACCATGTATAGGCTTGAATCTTTTATGTTGATGAAAATGTAACTTGGTAAATTATATTACCAACTGGGCCTAATAGCATGCTAAAGCTAAACTTTTCTAATGCAGTTCTGGAATAACTGGATAATGTGACATTGCATTATGCCACCTCTCTTAAAAATAATAGCCTTTTCCAAAGTTTTTTTTTAACAACATTAGTCATATTTATTAACTTAAAAGAGTGGCGTGTTTACTTTTCATGCTTTGTTACTAAGGTTTTCAATTTTTACATATTTTTTTTACTTGTTATTTATCATCCATTTTGTTATTTGAGGAGTTCTTGTAATAATCACTGGAAAATTGCTGAGGTATCCATTAGGGTATATTATGTTGTCTAGAGGATAGTAAAAATATGCAGTCCTGAACTGCATTTACTTTCAGCTAGCAAGATCTTTTAAAAACTTATTTATTATCTCACAAGACAGGTCTTCATTGTGCTGCTGCTTCTTCTTCTTCTTTTTTAGTTGTAAAGTGACATAACTTTATTTTATTTATTTATTTTTATGTGGTGCTGAGGATCCAACCCAGTGCCTCACATGTGCAAGGCAAGCACTCTACTGCCGAGCCACAACGTCATTGTGCTTCTTACTTAATCTGTAGTAAGTAATATTACAGTATATTTAAGAGTATTAATGTCTGCTTTAAACTTTAGTTTAGAGAAAGTTAATGTGACTGATAATTTAAGGAGAGAGAGATTTGTTAGCTTGAACTACCTGATCTCTATAAATACAGACATGTAGAAGAAAGCATCTAAGATCTGAGGGCATTATTTTTTTTAATTTTCATCATAACCCTAGGAAAGGTATTATTATTCTAGTTTTATACATGAGAAAATTGAGAATGATATAGGTTCACTTGTTCCTAGGTGTCATGAGCTGTTCTAGTGCCAGGGATGCAAAGATAGGCAGGACAAATGGCTTTGGATTTAAGCCAAGGTCTGGCAAAAACTAAAGCTATACCATACTGAGTGACAGCGTGAGTCCTCCTTCCTCTTCATCTGCTCCTTCACCTTTGTTTCTTTCTCTTGTATCTACTGCAGTTTTCTTCCAAGAGATCTCAAGGTCTTTCTCACTCACTACATTTCTTAAATATAGTCTAAGGTATATCCATCCCTCATGGGGTTCATGGTAGTTAAGTTTGGAATGCTAAAGAATTTCAGTAAATCTGGCAATTATTGAGTATTGCTTGAATACGAGACACTTTTTAAGAAATCACTTCTATTGTATTACACAAAAATCCTTTAGGCAAAGTACTACTGTGGTGCAGATGAACAATGAAGACCTAGAAAGATCCAATAATCTGGAGTTAGTCATTCAGAAAATATCCATGGAACTCATCCTTTTATGAGACACTGTGCTAGGTGCTGGTGCTACAAGACTTCACAGTTTAGCCAGGGGACATTGTGAAACAGTATAACTGGCTGTGCTGCTGATTTGTTTTGCCTGATGGAGGCTCTCTGGGAGTAAGCATTCAGGGAGCCCTTTTGGAGCTGTGGAAGACCTCACAGAGGAAACATTGCTTGAGCTGAAACATGAGAAAATATAGCATGTGACAGATTGGAAAATTGTTGTTGGCATGAAGGAGTAAGATGTATTTGAGAAGCAGTCAGTAGATTGTTACATGCAACCAGAGTATGGACAAGAATAGTTGGAGATTAGGCTGGATGGTACTAATGATACCAGTTATAGTTAATATTTATCAAGTACACAAATGCCAAGCTCTACATTGTTTTTCTCCACTAATTCTTGCATGACATGAGTATTGTGTTATCCTTATTTTACAGATCACTTTGTTTAAGTAATTTGCATAGGATTGCAGCTCGTAAATGACACACAGTAAATGACTTGTCCAGGATCACACAGCTAGCAAGTGGTATACCTGACATATCAACCCAAACAGCCTGGCTTCAGAGTCTGACTCTTAACCACTGTACTGAAGGGGAGGGATCAGACTGTAATAGTGAAGAAATCCGTAAAGAAGTTGAAATTTTGTTCTGTGTATCCATTGTATTTCAACCACATAGTACATTTTGCATTTTTACATCAGGATCCAGTATGTGTGCACATTATGTGCTGCTAAAACGAAAGAAAAGTCTCAAGAAAGTATGCATAGATTCTGTTTTGTTAAAGAAATACTGGTGGGGATGCTTCTAAATTGAACAACTTAAGCTACAGTCTGAAAAACTGCTTGTCGGTAGATGAGCTGCTGAAGAATTAAGTAGGAGAACCTCTTGATTTAGATTTGTGCTTTTAGGTAGGTCACTCTGTCAGCAGGTATGAGGGGTGGGTGGAAAGGATGGAACCAAAGAAGCAGAGAGAGCAGTGAGGAGCAGCTCAATGGACCAGGCAAGAGACGCCTGAATTAGGACAGTAGCATTGGGGGTAGAGAAAAGGGAATAGAGAAGAGAGAGATTTTAGAAATAAAATTGATAGAACTTGATGACTGGATATGGACTATCCTTTAGCTATTACCAGGGAGAAGGGCAATTCAGCTTAAGTCTGACTTTATTACTCAGGCCCTGAAACTTCATTTCTTGACCTTCTTTGAAGTATTCATTTTTATAGTAATGTTAAAATGCTTTATTATCTTTTCTATGCCTCTAATTTTGTATTTTAAAATGCATTGTTGTGTTTAATTATATTTGAGATTTAAAAATTTATATATCAAATCAGATGCCCACCTTATTCTCATGTTCCTACCTCGCCTTCCTTTCCCCGTAGAATTTGGAAGATCTGCACCGCAGTAAGAAACGGTACACACAGCATGAAAAGCACTCAGCAAATCTTTGTTGAAGGAGTGCATTCTGTATATTACAGACTTCTAAAGCTTTGTGTAGTAGCTCTTAATATTATGTTCACTAATTAAAGGAATACTTTGTGTAATTTTCTTTGATTTTGTTCTTGTTAACTCTCCATTTTTGTAATATATGAGTTGATAAAAAGCTCTAATTACCTTAACTTGTTTTGATTCACTTTAGGAAATATTGACCTATTTTCCCCCTTTTAATTTGTTTAATCGACACATAAAATTATACTATTAATGGGGTACTGTGTGATGCTTTGATACATGTATATATTATGTGACATTCAAATCAGTGTAAAAATATATCCATCTCTTCAAACATTTATTATTTCTATGTGGCAAAACATTGCAATATTGTTTCATTTATCTACAGTTACCCTACTGTGCAATAGGGCACCGTCTCTTTCCTGTTGTAAGTAGATTTTCCTAAGAATGAAATATTTTTTTCCTAAAATTTTAGCAATCTTCATTTCCACATTAGAAATGTAAATATATGAGATTCCTATTGCTTCTACCACCCCAGTCTCTCAAGAGGTATAAACATTAAAATAAAATGATTTGGGGCCAGAGTTGTGCCTCAGTGGTAGAGCGCTTACCTAGTATGCATGAGGCACTGGGTTCGATTCCTGGCACCACATAAAAATAAACAAATAAAATAAAGGTATTGTGTCCATCTACAACTAAAATAAAAATGATTTGGAGTGATTCTCTTATCATTTTAATTGACTAGGTAGCTTACTTAATTGGTTTATTTAGAACGCATAAATTCTTCAGTCTTCTAGCTAGTATAATACAAAAATAGCTGTTAACTTCCATAACCACAGTTTTTAAGAGACACTGCAATATCTACTCTACCAGAAGAGGTTATATTTGCAACTTAGTTGGCGAGATTTTTGAAATCTGATGAGCAAAGGATTGGTGTACCATCACAGAAAATTTCTGTTAGTTCTGAAATAGATAAATAAATGAAGAGGTGATAGTGTGTGTGTGTGTGTCCAAAATAAAAGTAATTGAAGAGGATTTGATGATATGTGTTATAATAGTCAGGAATTTGAGTTCCATTCCTCTCTTTTTCATTAACTTGCTATTTGATCATGGAGGCTGGAGTGTAGTTCAGTATTAGAGCAATTGTCTTGCATGTGCAAAGCCCTGAGTTCAATTTCTAGTACCACAACAAAAATAAGACAAAACAAAAAAAGGCTATTTGATCTTGGACAAGTCACTTAATCTTGCTATTTTTTTTAATATTTACTGTTTAGTTGTACACAATACCTTTATTTTGTTTATTTATTTTTAAATGGTGCTGAGGATCGAACTTAGGGCCTTGCACATGCTAGTCGAGCGCTCTACCATTGAGCCACAACCTCAGCCCCAAATCTTGCTATTTTTATCAGTTAAATAAGGATGCTTGATTAGGTGAACCTGAAGAGCTTACTAATTCAATTATAAGATACATTTCTTTTTTTTAAGGGAATAACATGCCCCAAATATTTTTTATTTTATTTATTTGTTTTTATGTGGTGCTGAAGATTGAACCCAGTACCTTATACATGCCAGTTTACTCTGTATTCATTCACTATAAATGATTCATTAGCCTTTAGCCTCATCTTTTCTTGTCTTTTTTTCTCCATTTCAAACTATGGAAGGAGTGGAGAAAGAGGTGAAGATGTGGTAGGGAGTCCAGAGAGTTGGGAGAAGAGACAATGTAGTTTTGGATGACTATTAAAGTGAGATTGGATAGTACTGATAAATTAATTGAGTTGTGGCTACCAGACCGAAATAGAAAATTTTGTTTTCCTTTGTAGTTATGCTATTGGAATTCTCATTTTGAAAACCTTGGTAAGTAAGTCATTAGTTGCCCCTAGTACCTTAGAGGCATAAATCCTTCCAGCTCTGTGGATCCTAGTACAGTGTCAGATTGTAGACACTATCATTGTTGGATGAACTACCAGAACTGGTGAGTTAACAGTCCTAGAGACCATTGTCTAAATCCTTTAACCTTTGGGAAAATATAGCTGTAGATCATCTACTCCTGTAGCCCAGACACTACAGTAGTAGAGATCATAGAAATGTCAAGAAGGAATAATAATCTTTCTTGTTTACACAGCAGCTAGTAGTTTTAAATACAGTTCACATTATGCTGAAACAAGCAGGACTATATAAAAGGCTAAGTAATAGTAGTAGTGAGAAATGATTATAAAGTGGTTATTTAAAGGCAGGCTAGAGATATAGCTTAGTGTTAGAGTGCTTGGCTAGGTTCAATCCCTAGCACTGCAAAGAAAAACCAACAAGCAAACAAAAATTGAAAGCAATTTAAGGAATGATAGAATAACATCATGGCATGTATTGGTGGGGGTTGGGCAGTGCTAGACACTGCAGGGGAGAGAAAGGAACTATTTGAAAATGGTACTGCCAACTTTAGATTCTTTACATATATATATATATTTCCAAAGATGACAGATTTTGGGGGGTGTTTATTTTATTTTAAAAACTTTATTTATTTATTTATTTATTTTTATGTGGTGCTGAGGATCAAACCCAGTGCTTTACATGTGTTAGGCAAGAGCTCTACCATTGAGCCACAACCGCAGCACAGGAAGGTTATCTAACCTTCTGAATTTCCATTCTGCCATTACTGAATTCTGTATCTTGTACTGCCAGAATTCTGCTTGCTGCCATGAAGCAATGCTGTGGCAAGTGGCTAAGTGTGATAAAAACCTGTTTTTTTTAATTTTAAAATAGAATACAGATGTCAGAATACTTTAAAAAATGTATTTAAAGATAGTTTCAATGTAGTGGAAATAGTAAAACATAGGAGAAGATTGAAGGTTTTTCAAAAATTTGCTTTTTATGGAATTCCTTTTTTTTTTCCTTGTAGACAGAAGATCACCTTCTTATGTCCCTGTTGATCTGCCGATTTCTCTTGTTCCTCTTCTGATTTTTGGGGCCTAGTGATAGAAGCTGCTGAATAGTCAGGAAAAATGAATGTTTTTTTTTTTATATCACAAACTTTGATGGTGATTGTGTTTACAACTACCTATATAGAGTTTACATGCCTGATGTTACATGTGTACATATTAGTAATTTTATTTATTTATTTATTTTTTAAAATGGTACTGGGGATTGAACCCAGGGATACTCTACCACTGAGCTACATCCCAGCTGTTTTTTTTTTTTTTTAGTTGTAGTTGGATACAATATCTTTATTTATTTTTATGTGGTGCTGAGAATCAAATCCAGTGCCTCACAGGTACGAGGCGGGCGCTGTACCACTGAGCTACAGCCCCAGCCCCCAGCAGTTTTTTATTTTGAGTCAATGTCTTGCTAAGTTGCTGAGGCTGGCCTTGAACTTGTGTGCCTCCTGCCTCAGACTTCTCAGTAGCTGGGATTATAGATGTTGACCATCACATCATTCTATATATATATATTTTTAAACCCCAAAGAAAGTGAAACATTAGAGAAAATTTTAAAATTTTCAGTTCTCACTTAAGCCTCAATACAAAGTGTTTAAGCATAGTCGAGATGGCAAAATAGGACTTTAGTATAACATGGTATTACAGAATTGTGGAAAATTCATTTGTTTTATAGAGCTGAATTCTACTCAGTGCTTTCTTTAGTTTTAATATCTCACTCTGCATTGGTCTTTGATTCAGAATGAATTCAGGTTCTTAGTATGAGCAAGTGCCGCAAAGTTGGGCAAGCTTTTAAATGTGTAATGACTTTCTTTTTAATGATTGCTAGAGCTGTTAGCAGTAAAAGGAGAATGAAAAGGAACTATAAAAAAAATGAGTATTTTGGGTGGATTAAAAACAGAGACAAGCTGTGGCCCTGCCAGCATCAGAAAATCATGGCACCGGTGGAAGAAAAGACAGAAAAAACTGCTGAGGAGCATGCTCTCGAATGAGCACACTTGGAAAGGCCTTCTATTAGCAGAGGTTTTCTTTTCTTCTAGGGGTGGAAAGGAAATTACATTGTGTTCAGATAAATATCCAAGATAAAATTTTTCTTTTTAAATTATGAGGTATACCATGTTATAAAATAAGTGGAGTGACATAATGTATGTCCTCTATCTTGAGAAATAAAACACTGTAATTATGTCCCCAAGTACCCTTCCTTAGTCCTGTTTCCTGTTCTCTCTCCCAGAGTAACATTCTCTTAAATTCAGTGTTTACCCTCCATGCATGCATTTATCCTTTTGCTGTATAAATTTGTATCTATAAACCTTATATAGTATTATAAAGATGTTTTATAACTTTGTTTAGAAGATATTACATGATGTATTCTTCTGCAGGTTATTCTTTTTGCTTAGTATCTTAAAAATGTTTAATTGATACATGTGGTTCTGGTTCATTCATTTTTAACTACTTTGTGGCATTTCTGTCTCTATTTCATGTATTTAGTCATTCTCCTGTTGTCTGAATGTGTTTTTAGCTTACTATTTTGAGGGGCAGGAAAGAGAAATCTATTATGTCATTTTTTAAGTTGGAAAAGGAATGTTGTTTTGACTTTGAGAAAAGCCAATTTCCTTTTTTGGTGTGCAGTCCCGTTTATTATAATCCTGGGAAAACCCTTTGTACTTCCCCCAGAGGAGACAGAGAAGGGTAATGTTTCATTACACAGATGAATATGTCTTGTGCAAAATGCAGAATAACATCTGCTGTAATACAGCAAGCTCGTGAGGGATTGAGCTGCTGCAGCAAAAAGCTTGGTTTTCTTCACTAAAATTCTCAGATTTTTCAAGTGCAGACTGGCAGTGAATGGAAACTTGTTGGCATTAATTCATTGTTTCTTTCTGAGTGTTTGGAATTATATGCTATTTGGATACTATCTGCCCAGTTTGTAAAAGGATATGTGCCTCTTAGGGTAAAAAGATTGTTCTTGAATTGTATTGTAGTTTTATGGAGCAAGCCAGAGGAAAAATGAGGTCTAGGAAAGAAGAGATATAGTTGGTGTGAAATAAATATTTGTTTTAATAATAAACATATTAATCCATGTTTATTCTTACTTTGTAGTTATAGTTTTAAAAAGACAATCTCTGATAGATTTTATCTTCTCAATTTCATGCTGTTTTTCTTTTGCAACAACCTTGATAATGGTTTGAGCATTTTTACAGAATACATAGTGCAGAGCTTCATTCAGGTTGTCCCGCCAAATGATTTGCTATATAGTGCATTAACCAGAAATGCTGAGGCAGCTAGGGAAACACTAATAAATGGGATGCTTTCCAGGGATGGTAGCTAAGGCAAAACAAACAGCAGCCAAAATTAAGAAGAAAATGTTACTTAGGCACTCAAACTGTAGTCTGGCCAGATATGCTATTAACACCGAATATCTTCTTCTAATTAAATTAATTGGGACCTGAGCAATTTGAAACACCAGATTGTCTGTTAAAAAGAGTGGCCAGTTTCAAGCATATTAGAACTATGGGTCATGTAAGAGCAGTCTTTTGGTTAAAACTTATTGAGAATGAAAAATTATCTTTGGGTTTTTTTTTTTTTTTTGGGGGGGGGCGATAGATTCTGGATCCTTAAGAATAATTAAACTCTGGGACCTGTTTGTTTCTTCCATAGTTTTGAAAGAAAGGGTGCTGAATGGATCTCCAGCAAAGGAAGAGTTATTATTATTGTTATTTTTGTTGGAATGAATCATGGAGGAGAATGATTAAGAATTAAGAATGATTTTTGATTTTTGTTTTTTCACTGTTGCTTTTCTTGCTAGTCACACTTTTTTTTTTTTTTTTTTAAAGCCCATGCATAGTGTAGGTGTGGAGAGAGAAGATAGTGGTATGGGAAAGGACTTCTTTTATTTTTATTCTTGGTTTGAAATGATCTCCAGTCATTTTCAAATAGAACCCCTACTCCAGAGAGTTGTATAGATAGGCAAGTGAATTGGATGTTTTTTCTTTTGAATGAACCAAAGTTTCTCTTTTCTGTTAATGAATTTGAATAGCCCAAAGTGTCTGTTGTCAAAATTCCTTTTAATCAAAACATGTTTTTTTCCTTATTTTCTCATCATTTATTAGAGTTCTATCAGTTTTTTATAGATAGGGTGAAAATTTTTTTTCTTCTTTAATATAAAAGTATTTCAAGGGTTGAGGACATATAGATCAGAGGTAAAGCCCTTGCTTAGTGTGCATGAGTCCCTGGGTTCCATCCCCAGCACTGCAAAAATTAAAAACAAAACAAAACAACAAAAAAGGTAGTTAAGAATATTTCTAAAAGTATTAGTTTATGTGCTCACTTCAGCAGCACATACACTAAAATTGGAATGACACAGAGAAGATTAGCATGGCCCCTGTTCAAGGATGACATGCAAATTTGTGAAGTGTTCTATACAAAAAAAGAGAGAAAGTATTAGTTTATATGATTTGTTGTTCCCAAATTTTACGTTTGTTTGGATTTACCATGTAATAATTCAGAGAAATAAAGTATAACAGTTTCTCATAATCAGTCTGGATTAATTCTACATTACAATTTATATTCTTTTAGAAGTACTTTCTTGTTCTAAGGGTCACTGTAATAACTGGTAACTAAGAATAACTTAATCAAGGTTTTTCAGACTTTCTTTTCTTATTTGGCATTATATGCTGCAGTACCCATGTTAGCAGGCTCAAGAGGGCCCTTACCTTTGACATTGACTTTACTTTTTTCTGTTCTTTTAGGTCTTTCACTACCATTCCTACAGTGGTTGGCAAGATATCGTTTCCACCTCACTCTCCATGTACCATGCCAGTGACATCTTAGCTGCTAGAGTGTGGAGCTGGCCTGTGGGAGTCAAGTAAGTGCCTTTTTTACTATTTGGCATGGTTTTTGCTTACTTTGCAAAGCCATGTAGAGAAATTTCTTAAGATTAGTTTTTAAAAAGGCACTTGCTTGATCCTTGTGGGTTGGCTCTTTGCTCCAGCCTGCTGTTGAACACCTGGTAGCTAACTTGGGGCTGAGTTTAGTGAGGTGACTGTTGCAGAATGGGACATTTTTGCTGAGGTAGAACTGAAGGGATGATAGATTTGATCCTTGCTTGAACATTCATACTATGAGCAGCCCCATCTCAGAATAAATCAGAATTGTTAGCTTAAGTAGTTATTCTAGCCTCCTGGAAGTTTAACAGGTTATGGATGACCAAGAGTTTGTTGGTTTAAAACAATGGGGTTGCATGAAAACAGAACAGCTCTTCCGGGAAGCCAATGACCTTGATACTTATCTTAATTATCTGACCTAATATATGGAAGCAGTCATGGTTGACATTAATCTGGTTTGGGTTTCTGTGTTTGTTGCTAAAGTTGCTAAAACCTGGTATTTTACTTTTGCAGGTCATCTTATAAATTTTGCCTATATAAATTAAGACATCCCCTGTTATATCATAACAACAATGTAAGGGAGAGTGTTTTCCTGCTCTGTCTTAGGTATTGGTGATATGACGTGTTCACGCAGGGGAAACTTGAACATTGACAGGTATGTGAAGATCATGATTCAGAAGCATTTTCTCCCAGCAAACAAAACAGTTTATTTCAGTGTGAACTTATGATGTGGTTTTACAAAGTTTATCTTTCCAGTTGATTTCCCTACCCACTGTGAGTATAGAACTAGGATTGGCAAATGATAGTCGAAACTGCTGCTTGTTTTTGTAAACAAGCAAAGATACATTTAACATATGTTTAGGGAATGTATGGAGAGTTAAACAAATCAACCTTATGCCTTTTTTTTAAGTGGGCACAGAAATATAAGATTATGAAGGGAGCCATTGTATTACCGGAGCTGTTATAGTCCTGTTTGTGTTATAAGCTTTTATTGAAACACAGGTTCATTCATTTACATGTTGTCTGTGGCTTCCCTTGTATTACAGCAGAGTAGAGTTGTTGCCACAGAGAGCTTATGGTCTGTAAAGCATAAATATTTATTATCTGGTTCTTTAATAAAAAGTTTGTCAACTCAACTGACCAAGTTAGAAGAACCAAATGTCAGTTTGTTTTTAAATACAAACTTGCTAGAATCACAGTCAAATAGGCTCCCAGGAGTATGTCAAAATGTTGCTGACTAGCAAATAATATTTATTTTCAATAGTGGTATGATTACTAATATAAGGTAAATGAAATGGAAAGCTAGCTATAATGGCAGTTGAGATTCATCTTTCATTCATTATATTTTCTCTTTATTGGCATTCAGTGGTAGGATATTTTGTTTAAGATCCTTTAAAGGTTTTTTTAGAAAAGGGTAAAAAGATTTCACTACGATATCTGGTATGGTCAAGAAGTGATAATGGAAGACCTCCTACTGCATGGAAGACTTAATAGTTAAAATAGATGTGCAATCATAGTTATTGAGGAACCAGATATGTTCAAGGATCACAGAGTAAATCAGTGGTAGAGCTAAAATGACAGTTGAAGTTGCCTGCCTTCTCAAGTTCTTTCTATTAGGTCCCATATCATATTAGCGGCTGCTTGTTTTCTTTACTAGCTGAAAGTCATAATCTATTTCTTTTTCTTTATTTTTCCTGAAGTAAAAGCAGACTTGATGATTTAAGTCACAAAGCTAGGACTGTTGAAATGTTGACCTTATTTGGAGTTTGGATGATTTTATTTTATGGTTGAAGATTACTGGAGGATTGCTTCTTAATGAATCATTCAATGCTTTGAGTGTACACTCAGGAAGCTTAGATCGGATGGCATAAAAAAGGAAGTCTGAGCCTTCTTCATAATTTTATAGCTATGTGCAAAACTTAAATTGCATAGATAGAATGTTCCACTTGTTTATGTATCTAAGCCCATATATGGAAAATGTGTGTGTGTGTGTGTGTGTGTGTGTGTGT